TCATTAATAATGCAAACTCGACGAGACTTTAAGTTTATATGCAAATTAACTTTTAAAAACATGTTTACTTAATGCACAGTCTCGGTTTGATTAACAAAAATTTTGAACTGCGTAAGGCGTGACATTTCCGATTATTAAAATGATCATCAGGTGGTCGGATAGTAGAGGAGTGTCAAAAATTTTATTAATTTACCACGTGATTTCCCTACCCACCTCACTTTCTTTATTATAATGATTTCTTTAATTAGGGTTTTTTATAGTAATGTATAAATAATTCCCAAACAATAACACCAAACCTATCAGACAAAAGCACTTGGTAAAGATTATGTTACAGATTCAGATAGTAACAGTGATTTTAGTTAATCAGAATTTGAACATGAAATTGAAGATACGCAAAAAAAGGACAATGAGAATAGTGATATAATGATCTAAGCACAAGAACGAAATAGGCACCAAATCAGAAAGTGAAGAAGAGGAAGCGAAATAATCATTTTCTTAATATTAAGCATATGGGCGGATTCTTACACCAAATGGTCATACAACTTCCAAAATTATGAATTATGTGTATTTTTAACTGCTTTACAAGCCTATCAAATAATAATAATTTTTATTATAATATGTATTATATAAAAACGGAAGCTTATTTATTATTTTAGTATTAGAGAGAAAAATTTCTTAAGATAGAAAAAATAAAAATCAATGATTAATATATATATATATTGCCAATGTTTAATTTTTTTAATGATGGTTATGATTTGCACTTGGAGGAGAACGGGTATAAGAATGACTTTCAGTGAATAGCTTCTACTATGACTTATAGAAGAACCAGATTGACTTGAATGTGAAATGTAAGAACTATAATAATAAGACCTTCTAAACAACAAACTGATGATCTATATCTAGAATACCTTTTTGTGTATCTCATAATTGCTTTTTACCATAGAATGAATGAAGAAGAAGAAGGCGATGATAGAAATAGCGATTAATATATAAATTATATTTTATATATATTTTAAAAATTAATACAATGTCTACATCTAATTGGAAGTGGTGATGGTTGATGGTATGGAACAAATCTACAAGATAACATATTTCCATCAAGTATATTGTGTTAGTTAATTACATTATTTTATTAACGATTAAGAATTAATGATTAATGTATTGATTACCGATCTATATAACCTATAGTTCTTTCTGTATTATTCCAGTTTCAAAACTGGACCTCTATTTGTTTGCCCTTTTAAAATTGCAATTAATTAATATTGCATTCATATAAACTTTAAATAAAATACCATCACATACATTTTTCATCAATAAATGCTTCTATTTGATCAATCCTACCAAATGCACCAAATATTTCTTGTAATGTGCTTTTTTTCACTGGATTTACATCCTTACCAAAATCAATACAAGGGAACATATCCCACAAAAAGTATAAAGTGGAATAGTTGAGGACTTAGGTTTCTATGCTCAACGAAATTCCATTATTCATTTAAAGAAAATAAATATTTTCTTTCTCTATTTGAAAGGATAATATGATTCTTTGACATTTTTTGTTAATTTATTAACCATAATTTTTGTAGAAAGTACAGGCGACAAAGAGGAATGTCGTTATCTATGTGAAGAGGTATAAATATGATGACGTGAAGAAGAAGATGGCGGTGGTGGCAGAAGTTACAACCTCTTGTGATTGTTGATGCTCTGCTGGTGATCTATTTTCTCTACGACTAGAATAAGAATAAGAATGTTGACTTCTTTGAATGTGATACAGAATGTGGAGGTTGACTCCTTTGATCAACCTTTACCTCCCGATGTTCCCGTCATATATCGATCGATAGATTATCAGGTTTAAAAAATAAAATCGTTAATATTAATAATAATAAACATAGAAACATACATTTTACATGTTATTGATGTATTTAAGCTTTTTTAGCAGTAGCAATAATAATTGGGCAGCAACAATAATGGTAATTCTAGCAATAATAAAAGTCAAATAATAAGACGTTACCATTTTAAGAAAATCATCACTTTTTGATTAAAAAAAAAAAAAAAATAAATTTTAATATAAAATGGAAAGAAATTCATCAAAATCATCAATGCAAGGACAAAACAATGTTATGTTTGATGATAACAATAATACAAAATCATCACCTACACCATCATCTACACCAATATTATCATCAGCAACAACTGCAAAAGAATTCAAAGTAGAAGATGATGACGAGGAAATAAAAGAAGATGCATATAATGAGGAAACAGGAGAAATTAATTGGGATTGTCCTTGTCTAGGAGGAATGGCAAATGGACCTTGTGGTGAACAATTCAAAGCGGCATTTTCTTGTTTTGTTTATTCAAAAGAAGAGCCAAAAGGTGTTGATTGTCTTGATGCATTCAAAGAGATGAACAATTGTTTCAAACAACATCCTGATGTATATCATGATGGTAATCAATATATGATATTTTTATGATGTTTCTATTTTCTTTTTGTGAACTAATTAGTTATTTGAAAAAAATTTTTTTAGAAATTAAAGATGATGATGATGAATATGACGATGATGAATATGACGATGATGAAGATTATCAAAAAGATAAAGATGATAAAGATAAAGATAAAGATAAAGATGATAAAGTTAATAAATCATGAAATTTTGGAATTAAAAAAATTTTATAGATGAAATTTTAATATCTAGCTTCCCAAAAAATTCAGTTTAGAAAGTTTTGATTTAGTTGGCTTTACTAATTACTAATTTTAATGTAAGGAAGAAATTGTTCCTGTTCCATCTTCTTTTGTTTTTATTACAAAAAAGAAATTCTTTGATTAAGTTTCTTATGTTTTTTATTAAAATTTAAAAATTTTCCTCAGTTGGCCATGACTCATCATCACAACCAATTTTTTCTTCAAATGTAAGGTTTAAGAGATTCTGGGATGAGTTCACTCAAGAACTCCTTAAAAAACTACCAGTAATTCACTGTACCCAAGTCAATTGGATGCCTCTTTGCTCTTGAGTCATGGATTACAGCTGATTTGACTAAACTAACATGATTAAATCATATTATCTTTCTACCTGATAGCATATAGAAAGAGGTTAAAGATGTAACTTCTTTATCCTTCCTCTAAAAACCCCCTTCACCCAGGAAAGCTCTTAAAATCAGACTTTACCTAATTCAAAGAAAAATAATTGGATTTATTATATGTCTGGCAGTAGTTAATATTGATGTAAAAAATAAAAAGTCAATATTTATGTGATAATTATGTCAATAAATCTGAAAATTTGAGGGCTTTGATCTCAAATTGTTTCTTGATACTCCTTATAGTGTTAAGGAGGCAGCAATTATTGACTGATCTATTGAATAATTATAACTCAAACGTTGCTGCAAAAAAAAGGAATTTTAAAGTTTAGATTTAAAAAAAGACAAATTACAGTCAATTGTCATTAGATTAACAGATTATGAAAGAATAAGAAGTGACTGTTCATTCCTTAAAGATATTAAGAAGTATGTGGATTAATATATGATTGTCATCTCACCTTGGCGAATTCTGCTTGTGCACTTGGAATTAAGGAAGTACTAAATTTTTGGTAGCCGGAGAGGATAGAGATGCCGGCATCATTTCTCTTAATTTAGGAGTGATGATCAGATATAGTCCAAGTGATAAAGTTATAGAATGGGAAAGGAATACAAGTAGGGATTCTATCTATGGTATAAGTTCCGTTGATGTATGCTCTGAATCCACAAGACAATTCATAATCTTGTCATCAAAAATCGGCAAAATGGTTATGTGAAAATCACCATTTGGTTTTAAAACACAAGACATGGCCAAAGAAGTTTTAGAAAAATTCAATTTAACCTGGTCACATTACTGATCGAGAGGTCATTTGGCCCATAAATCCCGCGAGTATCGGTAGTCATCTACTACACTGAGGGATATACTAATAAAACGTGAGGATGTTTTAAACAAAATCTGGATCCCTTAGTATTAGATGTACATCTTGCAATTCCGTCATCGATAGAAATGTAAACGGAGCCCATGATGTACTTTTATAGTATATTTACAGGAACACGACAAGATTCGCTCGCGACATTGGAACTCACATCCAAGGTACTCTACCTACCTAGGATTTGTGCTTAGGTGTAGGTTTCAATTTCAATTAATTTGTGCAATAATAATAAATTTTTTTAAATACGGATTCCGCAGATTTCGAACACAAACATTGAAACTAATACTAATACCAATACTAATACTAATTTGTCATACAACATTTATAACGACGAAAATTCATTATTATTATTTTTGAATTAATAATAATTATTATAAAAATATGGAATTTTATCAAGGCTTATCTTTTGACTTGAGCCATATTTTAGATGAATCTGATGATTATGATATTATAATTTATGCTGGCAAAGAACCAAACGTTAAAAAGTTTCATGCTCACACAGTCATTTTACGTGCAAGGTCTCCTTATTTTCGCAGAGCTTTGTCAAGAGACTGGGTTAGAAAAGAAAAAGAGGATGGTTCAATTATATTTCAAAAACCTAATATACCACATCAAGTATTTGAAGTAATTCTCAAGTCAGTATTATTGTTATTATTTTGACTTTAGTCTAAAAAATAACAATAACTAATGATTTATAAATCCAGATATATTTATGGTGGTAAGGCTAATTTATCTAAACAAGAAGGAGATATTATTCTTAATTTGTTAACAGCTTCTGATGAATTGAATCTACAAGAACTAATTGCATATGCGCAAGATTATCTTATCAAACAAAAATTAGATTGGTTACAACAAAATCTTATTGAGGTTTTATCAACAGTAGCATCTTTAGAACCGTGTAAGAATCTTCAAGGTTTCTGTTTGGGAATGATTTGTCAGGATCCTTGTTGGTTATTTAATTCAGACAATTTCTGTGCGCTGGATGAATCTATCCTGATTCCACTTTTAAAACGAGATGATTTATTGATGGAGGAAATAGAAATCTGGGAACACTTGGTTGAATGGGGTATAGCACAAAATTTATCATTAAATAATAAAAATGTATCAAAATGGACTTTGGAAGATTTTGAGTTATTGAAAGTTACTCTTCAACATTGTATACCATTAATTCGCTATTTCAATATTGACTCGGCTGATTATTATGATAAGGTGAGACCTTTTGAAAAGATTTTGCCTGTTGAGCTAAGAGAAGATATTTTACAATATTATATGAAAAAAGGACAAGTTAATCAGCTGGGCTCAGTAATATTGCCACCACGAATTATAGGAATTGATTCAAACATTATTAAATTTAGACATATAGCTCTGGTTTCAAAATGGATAGAACATAAAGAAAATTATGTTGGTGTGACAAAACCAAGCATAAATTTTAATTTGCTGTTGCGTGGCAGTAAGGATGGTTTTTCAGCTACAACATTTCATAACTTGTGTGACAATCAAGGACCAACGCTTATTGTTTTAAAAGTTAAGGAAACAGGTGAGATTCTTGGTGGGTATAATCCATTAAGTTGGCTGGGATATAATTCATCCGAAAGAGAAAATAGCTGGATGGTTGCTAGTTCAGCCTGGCCAGTACCTAATCGACCAAGACATAGTTCAACATTTGGAAGTTTTGGACGTTTATCATCATATGATTCAAGTCCATATCAGAGCACAATCGACAGTTTTATATTTTCATTGGGAAATGGTCGAAATATGGCAAATGCAAAATTAAGTAGAGTCTTGCAGGATAATATACAATTTGCTGTTTGTTCTTCTCAGAGACTTGGCCCGTGTTTTGGACAAACAGATTTGAGAATGAATGATAGTTTTAACTTGCCAGCAAAATGCACATGTCAATGTTACGATTATGATAAAGAAATTTGTGAATCGCAAAGTTTTTCAGTTGAAGAATTTGAAGTTTTTCAAGTTGTAAATAAAGATGATCCAGCATTAAATGCTCCATCACCTGTTCAAGTGCCAAGAGAAGTTCTAAATTATCCAACTGCTTGGTGCGATTTTTTTAAAATTAATAAAATATTATTATATATATATATTAACATTGTTTTTATTTTTAGGGACGAATTTATACATTTTTAATTTAAAGACAATTGTACAAAAACGAATCTTATTATTTTTATCTTTATATATATTTGTGAATATGTTAAATATTGTAAATTAATTTAGAAATTTTTTTAATAATCTTATCTTTTTGTATAATTTTTTGGTATTCATATTTAAATATGTTTTTAAATTATTATAATAATGACCACATAAATACAATCTTTGTAAACAAATAAATAAGTAAATTAATTAGTTGATTCAATAATCATACAATCCAAGTAAATTTCTTTCAAGTATCACAATAGTAACTTTACCAATAGCAGGAAAAAATACACTAGCCTTTTCTCTAACACCACCTTCAAAATTTTTATAAGTAGAGAAATTTATAACAACAACACCATCACGTAATAAACATGTAGGTAATTTATAGATTGATGTTGGAACTCCTGTCACAACTATATCTGAAATAGGAGCCACGTCTTTTAATTTAAGATTTGTTCCACAACCCTATTTTAACAAATAAAAATAAAAATATTCATATATAAATATTAAATATATAATTTTTATGAGAGAGAAAAAGAGATATAAAAATCATGTTTTTTTAATTTTAGTCCTGTGTCATGATGGAATTCGAGAATATTATTTATATCAATAGAAATATACCTTTGCACTATCATTTGCTAATAAAGTAGCAAGTGGATACCCGAAAATCTCACTGCGGTTGATTAATCACTGTAATATCACGTCTATGTAACCTATTTCCATAAGGTAGGATTGAATTATACACTCCAATATATTCCAACATCTAAATTAATTTCCAAATATCCACCAAAAAAATAAAGTTATAATATGATATTAAAATAAAGGTTTAAATATTTAAAGAAATAAGTAAATTAGTAATAAATAAATGATTCTGAATAATTAAATGCAATGTGATAGATAATTCACTGATTTTAGAGATTTTTTCCCACATTTATTTATACCTCAACTATAGCTAATGGTGTACATGAGATAATCCATTTTTAGTTTATTCAAATATCGAATGTTATCCATTATACATATTATATACGTATTTGTGGCATATTCCCTTTACATCTTTGAAGGTAAATGTAATTAATATATTCGCAGTTATTTTATCAAATAAAAAAAATATAGACCTGACAATCTCCAAATGCAAGATAATAAATCATTATCCATGCATGATGTCATTTTCATCTGCTTCAATGATGTTTCCTTCTGATTTTTCTCTACCACATTATCTTTATTCAAATATAACACATGTCTCTTTGCTTTGTTGATCAAGAGACATAATTTACTTTTAAGTTGAACCAGCTTAATTCCATTATATGTTTATCAACAAATAAAATAGATGGATAAACTCGTTATTATTAAAATGAATCTGAGCAAAGTCTCTAAAACATGGTGACACTCGTTATTAGTATTTTCTTGATTTTTACCCTAAAAACAAAGAATTGTTTTATCAGATTAAATTTTCATTAACATAATTATTTTTTTGCATTAAGATGATTTATTTAAATAAATAAATCTCACAAGATTAGCCGAGGGATCATTATTTAGAAAACCTACAAGTTTTGGACGAATTTCTTAATAAATTCGGATTTTTTATTAGTAACACTGTTTTTGAAAATGCTTTAGCTCGAATTGGTTAGTCGTGGTCTGTGTTTGGGTATGCTGATCTTTTTCATCTCGTTTTTTTTTACCTTTTTTGTTATTTTAATTTATATATGGGGGGATTTCCAGCAAAATATGGTTAGGAACATAGTAAACTTTTTTGGAGAAAATGACTCCCGAAAATTTG